CTTATGTTGTGTAATGCCATTTCCTTGATCATCATTCACAATTCGGCATCGATACAACGTGCAAGCACTTCACCGTTCACGAGAAGCGAAAACACGCGGCGACATTAACCGTACAAATCGCGTGATCAGGGAGGTGAAAACTATGGGACGCGGACGGGCGACAGCTGGGGAGGGGTAAGAAAGTTAGAGGTTCCAGCGTGCGCGTGGTGAGATCCAGAATCCATCGATGTGGATGGGAGCGAGTCCGAGTCGGCATGTCACTCGTCACACATCTCTATCCTCGGCAAATGCGCTAAAGGAAACACCGAGGCATTCCTAAGCGCCCATAAAATCTCTCGCAGTGGGTGGAAGTTGTACTTCTGCTATCGTACAACGTCCTCTGTTATGACACCATACTGTAGGTAGCATCCACCCTGAGCTTGACAGGCCATCAATGTGTGCTTGGAGCTTTTTCACGCTGTGTGCGACCATGTGAATGCCGAATGAACAAATTTGGAATATACAGGACTTCAGGGGGCATTAGGTTTATGGTAAGTGTATCCACTAGAACCCGGCCGCAATATATTACCTACAAGACGACGTGGATGCTATCATCAACGCTATATCAAACGATGTTAGGCTACCATCTTTTCTATACTAATGGCGACGACAAAAGTTGACTGATGGGTACTTATCACCTCAATCAGTCGCATGCTGGAGCAGATAGATGTAGTTCATATGCTTTCAAGAACGCAAGGGGAGCCGAAGCCTCTTCTGATTGAGGTAGAATGAATAGGCGTTTTCATATGATCTGTGAACCTCTCCGTTTGACCAGGATCTGCCTGACAATAATTAGGAAGATAAAGGACACAGTCATCGATGCCTATGAAGCAGAATTTCAGACATGCAGACAAGGCGAAAATTAGAAGACGCACCCCGTTGAATGCAATAGCATTAGTCCAGGCGAATCGGCTGCCAAGTAGAGCGCCTGTCACAGGACTGCCAACAAGCGCACCGAAGCCCGACAGCGAGAAGGCGAGCCCGAATCTTATTCTATGAGAAATGTCAGAATTTCGAGTGTTGAAATTGCAAAACAGAGGTATGTTTACCCTATTTCGGAAGGGTGCTTGGCGAGGACGGCGACACCAGGTGCAACTAGGGAAAGGGCTGGAAACAGGCCCTCGAGTAAATCCATGAGGATGAGACAGAAAACCAGACCGCGCACGAACCTGCGCCAGACATGAAGCCGTACAATATGGCAAATACAATGATACCAGCAGCGGTACTGATCCCGATAAGGGCGTAAATGAGAACACCGCAGGCTAAGAGCACAGGAGTGATGGTGTTGAAGGGGCCAAGATAGTCGGCCAACATGTTGGGAAAAATACGTCCAGGAATAGCAGCCCCGTTCAAGATTGTAATCTTCGAGGTGCATGAGCTCTCAAATTTGAAACTCGGGGGCACCTTTCGAACATACCAAGTAGAACGCTGTTGTTGGGCTCACACCGTGAAGGATGGCAAATAGTTGCAAGTAGAAGTCTGTGCAGACTTCAGTTATTTGATTAACTCGATTGTAACCGAGAAACGCACATGGGATGAAAACTCCCCAGTTACCGAAGAACATGCTAGGTTAGGATTATTATTTGCCACACGAATTTATAGTGGAGTTAGCGCTCACCCGAGAATGGTCAACAGGTATGGCCCATCGGTCATGATACCTTTGATGTCGGGGCGATCGCCGGAACTGGTACTCTTAAATTTTTCTTTTGGGGTCATGAGGAGGTTGGCTCCAATCAACATCGCTAGGACCACGAATGCCGAAATGCGAACTCCCCATTCGAACCCAAGGGAACTTTTGAAGAGTTGATTGAGGATGATTGGGAATATGAGACCGCCGATGGACGATCCTACAACGGAGGTATTAATCGAGTTCGTGCATACATGAAGCGTGTATATGTTACCTGACGCTACGATTCCCATCGCGAAAGCTCGACGAGCGCGCCAATGGTGAGATTGGACTGCAAGGGCAGGGACATAGAGAAGACCCGACCCAATCCCCATGCCAAGACCTTGTGCGAGGTATAGTTGATAATATTTCTGGGGATCGCACAACGAGACCATGAACAAGCTTAGGGGATGTTCCAGTGCGATACATGGTGGATAGCTCGAAAGGACGCACCAGAATACATAGATGATACTCCCAACTAAAGTTGTGTGGCGGAAGTATCCCATGTCGAGCAGTTTACCGCCTGGAAGGGCACCAGCTAGAAGGAAGAACAACTGCGTTGAGCCGATCCAGCTTATAGCGGAGGCCGACGCTGTGTTGGAGCGGGTGTACAAGTCTTGATACACGCCAAAACTGTTCGCGTATCCGAATGTAGTAGCAACTGCGAGTGACCTATAGTTCGAGCCGATGAAATACAAAAATTGTATGCATATTGGCAAAACTGACCCTCCTATCGCCGTGCACCAGGCAGCGCGACCGCCATCGACAATGTCCTCGACCGAGGGAGGTTCCACCGGTAATATGATCTGGTCATGAGTTTCCTTGTCCGGTTGCTGGGCGAGCTCGACCTTCGAGCTCATTCTGCAACGCTTGTATTTCTGCTCTGCGGAAGTGCATTGAGAGGAACCCTATAAGGCTCTCTGAACCACCGTGCTTGTAACTTGGCACTTCGTGGGCGCCCGAGGCCGATCCACAAAGTTGGTCACATTTTCGCAACATAGCGGTCCACCATCATTCTTCTCCCGCAATGGTGTGCGAAGGTACTGACGGTAGGTGAATGAATCACAGAAGTTCGATGCTTGACTCACCGTTATGCTTCATGTGAGTAACGCAGAACCACAGGGATGTTAGACGGCCATCGATCCGTCATCGCGATTCATTCTACGTGCAAATCTGGATATAGAACAGCATGGGACCAAGCGAGCTTTTGTCGGGGTACTAGGGCCAGGAAGACAGTTCGCCGGTGCAATCCCTGCACTGAGGGCAGATCCCTTCCTGCGCAACAATTATCCTCGCCAGATGCGGGAAGTGTTGACGGAGTTCAAATGCATTGCAACTCCGCCAGTCTTGCCGTACGGTGCTGCTGGTAGAATTTCGGGTGAGATGCCCAACCGAGGGATTCGCCTAGACCTCCTTTGGTTTTGGCAGACACCTGAATGAGTTATATTGCGCTAATTGATATGCCACTTCAGATTTTTGCGACATAGATGGACCGAAGGTGACAGAGGGAGTTTGAAAGAGGCAAGCGATCAGTCGCACTCAACTCTGTTCAACAGTAGCGTGCTGCATCACCGCTAGATTAACTGTCCAGAAGGCAGTTGTATTTCAACGACGTCAAGGTTTGCCTGCTGTGTAGATTTGCTTCCATTGTTCACGAGGGACAAATAGAAGCCATCTCAAATCTATGTAATCTGACGTCCCCGCACATCAGCCATTCCCACCTTCCATCCTCAAATCGCAGGAATAGAGTGAGTTGAGTTCGTTATGGTATTGTGCTTCAAGTCGGAGATTTGGTAGGCGCCCAATTAGCGCTGACAGACTCCACGTGACTTCATAATGATGCAATCCTATGCAGTTGCAGAAAGGGAAACGCCAGCATGGAGCGTCCATATCGACCACATGCAAGCCAGCTGCAAAAGTCCGGAAATAAAGGACGGCCATAAGCTGTCGTAAGCGTCGTCGGAAAATGTCAAGAATCGGTTGGACGGCATACCAGGCTACTCCTCAGTGCACAAGTTGTACTGCCGGTTCCGTTTTCCGTTACTTTCGCGATTTAATTTACGAACTCAACCGCGAAGGACTTGCAGGGTTGACCTGGATCCGACAAAATGCCTGGCCCCACAAGCATTTAGTGTTTTAATAGTCTTTGACGGTTATAAGGGAGTGTCCACGTCAAAGTATTTCTAAGGATGTTCCCCTTTACGACGTTCCGGCTCCGCTCATTAGTTCTCAGGGACAATTATCAATCTGTCGGCCTCTCCGAAGGCGGTCGTCAGCAGAGAGTGAAATTTATGCTATTCCTTGACGTAGAAAACCCACGTCTGTCGCCAAGCTCGATAAATATCCATTGCCCCTCGGTGCAGCATTACGTTTTGTTACATACATGGCTAACTACAAAATACACAGAAGCGACAACTTTCAACGAACAATCAAGCCATGTCGTTGTAGTTAGGATCTGCCTTGGTGTCGGTTGTCACTTCCGTCAATTTGGTCATGCGCACTGACACTTGTGATTGAGGGTACTAGACAACATGTGAGATAAATCCATATCCCCAATCGGTTGACTCACTCTCGTATTGCTGGCATTGAAAGTGCTACCCTGAGACTGCTGCAACTCGACAAATTTGCTGGACCGAAGAATGCTTCGTGCATTGAGCCTAGGAGTTAATCGAGTCAGCAACGATAAAATGTAATCAGCGCGTTCACCGGACTGACGAGGCAAGTAAGGAGTTGGAGAACACTAAAAAAGAATCCAGGGTAAGGACGGAGAGACCTTCCGTTGTATGTGACGGTTTACTTACTGCGGGCCAAGAACATGAAGAACGCCAGCCAGACAACTATAAACTCCAAGTTAGAAAGTGCACCTCTCAACGGGTATTCAGTTGCTGCGTACAGTTACCCGGCATCGCCAAGAACTAATGGCTGTTAGTAATAGTCAGAACGAATCAAAAGGAGGTGCCTACGCAGATTAGCATGACCAAGCCAGTTAAACTAGTCATTAAACCAGTCTCTGCATTATTGACGTCAACGTCATATCCCCACTCCGCGAGGACGCGACTTACGGATTGTCCACGCAATGATCTTATCAATCATCATCGCAGTCCTGGTGAGGCGTCATCAGCGACACAACAATCTGAGGGAGGACGGAACGAACTTCTCGTGCGAATTGGACCTCTGGATCCTGAGGTGGTAGCAAAGCGCAGCAGCGACGATGATATCGACGGCAGCACCGATGGCCAGCACCGTCGTGAGCAGCCACTTCCATTCCTTTTGGTACTGAGCGAGAGTAGTCATTTGGAAGGCCTCCGAAGCAGCAACCAAGCTCATGGCGAGTCGGACAGCGGAAAGAGTCCAGCATATGATTGGGATAATGAGCTGACCGCTGACGACTCGCACGCGCTCAGCGAAGAACGCCTATAAAATAATTCAGAAAAAAAGGGAAAAGTAAGAGACAAGGAATATACGCACTTGGACGAGAGGTCCTATAACACCGCTGAAAATAATGGCCAGGAATAGCGTCGATGGTGGTCTCACGAGCGCTCTTGGATCCCCATAGTGGCTGATGGTCAAGGAGTAAAGAGAATGGCAGATGGAGATGCAATGTGCGAGTTCGAAAAGCCTGATTGCGCCACCGTCAGTTTTGTAGCTTTCCAGCTGGGGAACACAGCAACTGGACCTACCAGACAACAGCGACCTAGTTATGGATAGGGAAAGCATCAGGGACGCCGTGCCTGAATGTGGAGGGAGGGATTTACCAAAATCTTCAACTTCATCTGATCCTCAGGGAAGCGAGTATAGTAAACATACGCCTGGACGGTGACAATCCCAAAGAGGAAGGAGGAAATGAGTACTCCCACAGACAGAGCACCGAGGGTTCCATGAGCGTCGAACGCTGCTAGTGCAGAGGGCGCGCTAGCCATGATGACGGAAGGAGAGGTAGAGACACTCGGAGTTCCCGCTCCTACGCTTTTAACAAACAAGGGCTGCCCCGTTACCCTCCTGACCGCATGTCCGCAGAACTGCCACGCACACGCGATACTCCGTCAACCTGGAGCTTCGAAAAGACGTGATGTTCGACTTGCCGTAAAGTGAGATAAGATCTTTGTTGTTTGGACCAGTCTTTCTAACCGGGGTACGGCGGCGCTGAGACTCCGCTCAGGGAAGTTGCCGAGGACCATTTATCTCTGAAACGATCACATCGTGCACGCCATCTGAGTGAGTTGAATACAACGAAGGATGCTCAGCATGCACTCAGCGTTGTGTTGTTCAATAGCCTTCAAGAACGAAGCCGATTGAACGCAACATTTCAACGCCGACTGTAACACGACAACTGGCTTCTTTGCATGACTGATGTTCGAAAGGCTACGCCTATTCAGTGCCTTGGGGAGTTCGCAGCTCAATGATGGATGAGAACGCTTCTTCGTCGACGTCTACTTCAGATGGAATCGCTGCAGACGCAAGAGCGCGCAAGAGAATGCTGGCTATTGCCTGCATAACCGACAGTTTTGATAAGCGAGCGAATGAATGCTCGACGGACATACCGCGGGCGCTGGCGGGGAGGGACTGAGAGTAATCTGGACTCGCTTCAAGCCGTTCTATCGGCACAAATCTTGAGCAGGCCTAAGACATCAAAATTGTTGAAGTGCACTGTACGCAACTGGGAAATTAATCAGCAGAGAATCTACAAAGAGTGAATCGGAGAATTCGCAAACCCTGAAGAACTTTGGAAGTCGTCGGGTTGATGGCTGCGGTGAGCATGGAGCTTGGGAAGTTTATCCGTGATGGCGTGAAAGAGGACTACCGGCCCGCTGAGGAAGGTCTGCGCCACCCAAAGCACAAGTCCTCGTCGAGAAAAAAGTAAGTGAAAAGTGAGCGCCTTTTTTCCTTGTAAACTACTGCGAAGATAATGTGAAAGATGTGGTATTTTTTCAAGATATTTCAAGATGTAATGTTACGTCCTTGGAGGCTACATAGCGTTTCCGAGCAGCGCTAGATCTCGAGGTGTCGTTCGATCCGTGCGCGTGAACAGTCGGAGGTCCTGATGAGAGTCAATCATGCAATTAATCACCGCTCAAAGTGGCGATCAGGTAATCTTCACAACAATCTTATTCAAAAAACTCCTCTCCGAGCCTCCTCTCCGCTCGCATAGTTGGACTATTTTTATTTTAACAACGAGCTTTGCTCCTAAAACCTCGCTATCATTCGATGCTCCATCGACCAGCACGAATAAGGAGTAATTGAATGGCCAACCATTGGGTGCGCCTTCTTGCCTCCTTGATCGCAAACGAAAGAAGGTTAAAACTTGATATGGGCGGCGCCCAGTGACTTCATATCGCTCCAAATCCGCAAATATTTTTAGACTTGATCATCAGTCACAGCATAGTAAAAACACAAAAAAATTCAGAGGGTGTAAGGACAAAATGGAGCTCAAGAGTGTTTGAACTAAGTACGGCCGCCGAATGGGGACCGGATGGGAGCGACCCGGCCTTCCAGGAGGAATACGAGAAACCGAAGCATCTTGTAGTCTTTCCTACCGATCGCGCTCGGACGAAGGTTCTCCTCGAGCTTTCTTCGTGATTCGCGCCTGGACACATTTGCCCCTATGCTGAGCTTCTGTCACATGTTGACGGGCGCTTAGAGGACATCGTGGCTCTTCCTACTGCGACGATATTTCAGGAAGTTCGAAGTCCCGAAGCAGCCGCCTATTTCAAACTGGGCACCGACGCTGCGTGGTCCGGAAGTGCGACAAGGCCGTCGAAGTGTAGAATATTGCATTTAAAAAATTCTGGCTTCACCGCCAAATTGAGTCCTTCCTGACCACCTGCTCGACCACCTGGCCAACAATCATGAAGCGAGCTCGGTAGAAATATCTACACTCTCTAAGTCAGGAACTCTGCGAATATCAACCCCGGTTTTTTCGTTTGAGATATCACTTGAAATGAATGTTTCTTACCGACGAGCAGAGCATCTTCAACGCCAACCTTCACATCTCTGCCAAGCCTCTGCCTGGCATCGTTTCAAGAAGCCTTCGTGAGACTTGCAGTTCAGTTGTTCTTTGGTGAAGGAAGCCTATGAGCGTCCCGAGTCTCCGGCCTCACCGAGGGCATCGACCAAGGGACTCACACCTATTGATTTCCTGACAAGTCTATTTTTGCGCCGGTCTGTGTTTTTGTTGGCAGCTGTCGAATAACCCATCTGATAGACTCGTTTGATAGACTCGAGTATGGACTCTGAATCGCAATATATACTCATACAGATAACCAGAGAGTCAGACGACAGGGAGCCGTGCGCAGAATGAGGATATTCAACCCCACTAAAGCCGTTCTGGTAGCGGGTTGACATAAGACGCTCCATGCTTGGCGAGAATAGAAGCAATAAATAGATTGGTGGGAGGTTCACCTGACACTGCGACTATCATGCTACGTAAGATACAGAGTAACAAAAAGAGTTGAGATAACAAGAGTCGACAAACAGCCGCTAAGCTTCAGCCGCAAGGTCCTGCATAAGGAGCGTAAGAGCTTCCTTCGACCGAGTCTTGATGGAGTACTGGAATGGTTTAACGTGGCTGGAAAGGGGAGATGGGTAAAGCATCAGCGCAAGTCCTCTCCTAGAATCAATTAGGGAAGCTCTTACCTGACGATGGCCGTGGTGAAGCCAATCTCGGGCTCGATAATGCGACCATCCTTATCCACGGGCTTCGAGATGTCGAACACCGCCAGAGTCGTTGCCATCTGGATGAACATCGTCGCTTCGCCCACGTGCTGTCCAGGGCATACCCGCCTCCCGAAGCCGAACACAACCTCGCGAGGGTCAGGCTGCGTCGTGTCGTTCTCGCCCTTCTTCACGAAGCGGTCCGGGTTGAAGGTAAACGGATCCGGGTACTGTTCAGGGTCGTGTGTCATCCCCCAGATGTTCGCGATGACGGTCGTCTTTGCGGGGATGAAGTAGCCGTTGTATTCATCGTCAGCTGAGGTGCAGTGGAAGATGCCAATTGGGCTAGGAGGTGCCCAGCGCAGGACTTCCTGCAGAACAGCGTCCAGGTAGGGCATGGAAGCCCGATCTTGAATGGTAGGCAGGCGTCCTTCTTTGGCAACAATTGAGTCTACCTCTGCCTGGGCACGTTTCTGGACGTCGGGATGCAGCATCATCAAGAAGTAGAAGGTCTTCACGGAAGAAACGGTCTACGAAGGAGGGTGATTAACCAGCGGAGATCTTCGAGGTCGCGTCGCGACTCACAGTGTCAGCACCGGCCGCGTAGATCGCTCCTCCTGTCCACAGAACCAGGTCGTCGTGTTCAGCTTCTGATACGTGTGGGTCCCTGGATTCGAGGAGACGAGAAGTAAACGACGGTTCTGCAGTTCCAGCAGCCTATGTCGCCAACATTAAGGACCTAGTAGGATCAAGGAAACAGGAGCTCACCATCTGAGCCTTGACCCAGTCATGTGGTTCCAAAGACTGTGTGTACAGCTGGTCGCTCCATGCCTTTGCCTGCCGTTTGAAACCAGCACCAGGGAACCAGTCCGGAAGGTATTTGACTAAGAAAATTCAGTCTTCGAAACGAAAAGAAAGATGAGACAACATACGTGCTGGGATAGAATCGACGAGCCATTTCCCTGGCGCGCCAGCCAAAGAGCCCACTCGCATGCCTTCTTCGGCTAGAGCTACGAAATGATCCCTATCCTTGTCAATGGTGTAACCGTACGCAATCTTCATGGTCGTAGCGGCGGCGTTCCTATTTGCTCAAAAGTTAGCACTAGAAGGAAAGTATAGGAGAAGAAACTACCTTCGTAGGTGCTCGACGAAATTCTGCGGAGTCTTGCTAATGTTAGCCACCATAATTCGAGCTTGTTTCTGCAGGATGGGCCAGTTCAATTGGGAGGCATTTGGATTGAAGGACGAGTGCATGAATTTCCGATAAGTCTTGAACCTCTCATTGTACGAGCTGACCACCATGCGTCACAAACTCGACTCTGCGCGCTAAAGTCAAGGACACGTACATATAGAACATGCTCTTCTCTCGTTTCATGAGCTGCCCTGCCATCGGCGGGAAGGGCCTGTCCGAGTAGATCAACGACCGCTTCCCAAGTAGATCCTCCGCTACTGCCGCAGAATTGATGACAACCATTCGGCGTCCTAGAACGTGAAATGAAATAAATCCAATGTTTCCTGTGTATTTCGTAAGTAAGAAATACGCAACTTGAACACGAACGACGTGGCCTTACCGTACTTCCTCCCCCATTCTGCATAGGTCTTCCAGAACTCTGTCTTGGGGTGTTCTTTCGCGGCACCAAGAACCGGCAGTCCCTTCGGGCCAGGAGGGAATCTGTGTCGACTACGGAGAGAAAATAGGTAGGCAATAACCAGCACAGCGACGGCAACAATGATTGACGCCATAGCCGTCCTAGAGGGTGTTTATCGCTTGTGGACAGCGCAAGATTGGTTGTCAATTGCGGGGAAGGATGAGAGTGTATAAGGTCTTCAGGCAACCTCTCGACCGCATTCCAGGTTGCTCGTGACTGGCCAAGGCGTGTAGGCGGAATCAATTTATCATCACGGAAGCATCGAGTGCCTTGTGGGTAACACCACCTTTATGATTGGACACACACAGCCATGGGAGATCTACCGTTGGCCGAGCAGGTCTGAGCGGTGCCAGGGGATCCTGGCACCGCTCCCAAGGGATGCGTGACCAAAGTAAGGACTCTGGGAAGCAAACGGCCGAAAACAGGAGGATATTAGGATTGAATATCCCGGAGATAAAACCAAGGGAAAATGTGCATAAAGAATAGCACGGGTACAAAGTGGAAGGCGATATAATACGGAGAGTGAACAAAACTTGAAGAGTAAGCTAAAGTACATACTTGTGGCGAGATGGCGACGCTAGAGGCGCGGGCGCCAAAATGGGATGGAGTCGACTGGACCAAGCAACAGCGAAGAGAAAGGAATTATGTGAGATACCCGAGAGTTTTAGTGCATTAGCTGGGAATTCATTCAAATGCGATGGTCCGAATACCATCCATGTCCGCCTGTGGGTTCCCAATAATCATACTATCACGGCCCTCGCTGCAGAGCCTCGCAGGATTTCGTGAAAGCGGGAGCTTTAGTAGCTCCCAGTTAAAGTGTCCTCAGGGGATCTGATGGGTTTCAAACCTCAGAATGGATTTAACGCAGGCGAGGCAGTCCATAGGCGCCGGTTAAACGCTCAGACTCGGCAGAACAGCTCACATTGCAGAGGGGATAAATATCATTAATTAGGGTATATTCTCATATCATCGCACTTCCTTTCTCCTCGTGCTCACTTTCCCTTATCTTATGTAGCTCGTTACGCCCCGCCTCGAGCGCTGCTCTTTTTCGCACCCACCCTTCCTTTTGGTATCATTTCTAGCTACCGCGACGTAGGACAATAATGCGGCTTTTCTGGCTTGAGCATTTGCTCTCTTCCATTTTACTTTGGATTTCTTCAGGCCCTCGCGAGAGATTTCGCGACCACAAAAGCCATTGCATTTTCGCCTGCAACCCCGTGTGATCTTCCTCCTTTCGCTCCTTTCGCTCCTTCCTGCTAAAAGACGTATATACCTCGACGTATTGCCAATCTTATTGAATGTCAATTGTCCTTCAGAAGGTGCGATCATTGTCTGGGACGAAGAGCAGCGAATTCAAGCGACGGAGGAACGAAGGCGAGCGACCTTGAGTGAAATTCAGGTAAATTCAGATATTATTGTCTGAAATTTGAAGGCCCGATCTCCGTGCGGAACGTGGGAAAACCTCTAGTGTTCTCATATAACTAAACACATTTACTACTTCTCCTGTAAATTTATGTTTTCGGAGGACATCATAGGGTGCCTGTATATATAATTCGCAAGTAAATACATAGGACCCACAAATAATGCTAATGTGACTTCTCGTCTCGTCACACAGGAAGGACCCCATCACTGGATCCGGCTTCTTGCGTTCAAGAAACAAAGATCTCATCGAAAACCAGTACTCCGGCTTACATCAGTGGGCCATCCAAGAGCAAACAAAGCCAAGTACTTACGAACAGCGCATCAGCCGCCCACGTGCTCTTCATAACACACCATCAACTTCGGAGCCTCCCAACTTGCACCCCCTCTTCTTCGCCTTCGCAAACTAAAAAATCTTTCTCGGGAGCGTTACAACCGTAAAATACGGCGCTGACCAGCTTCCCAACATGGCACATTTCGGCGCAGTTCGGGCGCTAGGACACAACTCGGATTTTGCCTTTTCTCGCAATTGCTTTCTCCATATAACTGCAACTTCCCCTTGGACTTGGACCGTTAATTAAGCTGCCCTAGAAGATGTCTGGAGCGACCACCAAGTACATCGAGACCGTCAATTACAATTACGCGAAACGCGGTTTCGCACTCACAGCTCTCGAGTACTTGCTCACCGGCAGCCAGGACCTGGTCGCCCAGTTGCAATGGAATCCTTTGCAGAATTTTGGTGCGTTGATACTTCTTCGAGTCTTCTCTCGCCCACATACATGTCTGCACCTCACAGCGAAGTCAACCATCCTCGGTCTCCTGGAACGCGTCACGAGAGGTGAACTCACCATCCTGAGCGAAGGCAAGACGTACAAGTTCGGCAAGCCATACGACGTGAAGATAGATGGACACTCGTGGCCGCTGACGGCGACAGTTACTGTGAAGGCGGAGAATTTTTGGGCTAGAATGCTTTTGCACGCGGACTTTGGGTTTGCAGGTATTCCTCCCTCCATCGTCTATCCTTCACCACGCTGAGAAAATTTAGATGCCTTCATGCTCGGTGAAATTGAGGTCGACAAGTTGAAGGATGTCTTCAAAGTAGGGAATCCTCTTCTCAGTGTATGAACGCGCTTGCTGAACCTCGTCAGATCTTCGTCCTCAACAGAAAATCTGTTGGGGAACTGGGCACCGTCCTCAGCCCCATAGTTCGGACAATAAGTTACATGTGGGTCTTTCATCACATCATCCACGAGGTTCGTCCTCACCATCATCGACAGTGCCAACCTTCGTCTCGCCAACGGTTTGATGGGGAGCAAGAGCAACATCTCGTGTGTGGTTACATTCAATTGCATCACACACACCGCTCACAACAACTACAGCGCCCATTACGATCTCTCGAACGAAGTCTTCGCGGCTTTCTTATCATGGGATATGACGTCGGTGCAATTCCTGGACCGAAGATGAAAGTCAGGATCCTGACCGTCCCTCAGTTATAGTTGTGCTATTTTTGACAAGGAGGCTGGAGGAGCCGTCGGAGACCTTGTTGGAGAGCGCCCAATAGCTCCTCCACGAAGGGGATACTTGGATAAACGGACTATCCCAGCCGACGATCTGGAGAGAGGCCAGCTCGCCAAGCTTCACCTCATCGCCCAGCGCGCGAAGATTAAGAAGGGTTCCCTTGTTCTCGAAATTGGGTGCGTCAACCTCCGTGCTCGTCGTCGTTTCCTCTTCCTCACCCCGCTCGCTCCTCTCCTCGCTGCAGATGTGGGTGGGGGAGCTTCTCCATTCTCGTACGCTTTTCGTCATTCATTGCATGCGGCTACCCTGACGATCTGTGTTAAAATGTCAATTAGGCTGCGGGAACATATGGGGCTACCGTGGAGGCCATCACGATCTCGGACGAACAAAAAGTCGCCATCGACAAGAACATCGCCGACGCAGGGCTTTCGCATGCTATCAACGTCCATGTCTTGGACTACCGCCAGATGCCCGAGTCCTTCCATCATGCATTTGATGCGGTCGTCTCCATTGGGGTTATGGAACACGGTATGTCCGAACTGTATTATCCCGAGGCTATTGCCCCCGCACTGGTGCCCCGAGCGCTGATTGTGAATAACCTAATAGTGGGTATCGAATTCATGCGTGGATGGTTCGAGAAGATGTCATGGGCAATGAAGCCCGAAAACTCATTCAAGGTCTTCACGATGTCGACCGTGCCCGACACCCGCTGGCACATGTATTCCAGGTATGCTCGCACTTCCCTCAGCCTAGCTTGTTTCTCATGATGATCATTTTTCTCAGCGAAGTCGACTTCGTCAGAAAATACATCTACCCGTACGTCTTACGAAATCCCACGTTCAAATCAAGTTAGGTTACTTACCCGGTGTCTTGCTTCCAGCGGCGGGCAACTCTCGTCCGTAGCGACCCTTGTGAACGATATCACAGCCGCGGGTCTCAACATAGAGTCAATCGAGAACATCGGGCCACGTAAGTTTCTTGACTCTTTCGCACCCTTTGAAAGACGCGCTGATGCGGCTTATGCAGACTACGCGCGCACACTACGGGAGTGGGGCTACCGGTTTGAGAGAAACTTCAAGTCAGACATCGAGCCCGCGTTGCGAATCCAGTATCCCAACCTGACAGACGACGACATTCTGATATTCCGTAGGAAATGGAACTGTCAGTGCAACTTCCTCTGCTTCCTCCTTGACGGTCTTTTCCTGACGTCGCTTCGCTTGCTCCAGATTATTTCGCCTATAGCGAGGCAGGGTTTGCCCTCCGCAGTATTTCCGACCATGTCATTACCACCACCCGCGAGGTATTTTTCTTAGCCTTTCTGAACAAAAAGGTTGTATTCAAACCCCCTGTCTTCCAGGCAAACACTTTCGTGACCAGCACCTGTGAAGACCATCCTCCGACTCATTTCGTGAAGCAATGATTGCTTCAAACCCGTAGAGTTCAGTAGAGTTCCAACCATGTTCGTTCCCCTAGAGTAGATCTCGTTGGCTTGTCTGTGACAACTCTCCAAGTTTCTTCAACCATCTTGATCATCTAGCACCTATTTATGATCGCTCGTCAGGATATTACATACCATTATTTGCATATCTCCCGCTCCCTCTGACCAGCTTTGACCTCTCCAAGACTCGTTCGTGTGTATTTATTTTTTACACGTGATTCCAAAACGGAAAATCCCACCTTTTAGTTCGTCATCATCGTTTCAAACGCGAGCTTCTATCTTCCATCTTCCACCGACCCATGCCGACAAATCGGCAGAGCTCTGCTGCGAGAAATGGCCTTCTGAAGGCTTCTGCGCCGTATGTCTGTGGTCTGGTCATTGGGGGCACGGTTCTACAAGTAGCCGGTCGAGCTTCTGTTCGAATCCGACGCCCACTGTAATCGCACACGTAGCCGATACACACCCTACGGCGTAAACCAGGTTATATTTGTCCCTACACGCGATCCGCAGGTTACGTCGAACCTTGAGTCTAATCCCAGCCTTTCCCGAGCGCTCACCATGGTCCAACTCCTCTCTACGCTGCACACCCTCGCGCCGCAGGGCTCATTCCCGTTCTATGTCCTGGGGAAGCAGTACTGGACTGAGAAGTCGATCAAGAACACCGAAGGGCTCACTCTGATTTTCCTGCACGCTGTCGGGCTACACAAGGAGACTTGGGAGGTGACTATCGCGCACCTGCTTGGCCTCGACGAGGCGAGTCCCCAGCCCAAGATCCGGGACGTCTTCTCGATTGAGAGTCCGAATCACGGCGAGTCTGCTGCTCTGAACAAGGAGGCGGTCGAGAAGCACTATGGGGACAGTTGTGAGCCATCGTGAACCTCTTGTCGTTTCGCTATGGCTCATGGATATGCGAATAGGGCCTACGAGAGTAATTGCTGAGGCTGCTTATACCTTCCTATCCGCTGGACCTTCTCAAGGAGCCAAGATCGACTTCAGGAAGAGAAAACTTGTTGGCATAGGGCATTCTATTGGGGCAGCGGCGCTGTGAGTGAAGATCTAGCTGAGATATCTCCTTTGCCCTCCTAACTGGCGCCCATCTCCTCCTGAACTCAGATTCCTTACTCGGGATATCTCCCCACAAATTCCCTTCCTCTCCGTAATTGGTGTCGAGCCGGGCATCTCAGTTAAGGGCCTTCAGGACACCGACGTCTCATCTCAGATGCTCACCGCCTACACATGGCTCCGGCGCGACGTCTGGTCTTCCCGTAAGTCTGCAAAGAAGGACCTGGAAGCATCCCCTGTCCACGCAACATGGGACCCGAGGGTGCTGGATTTGTACGTGGTATGTCTGTTCTGCACACCCCTGCTCCTTTCAGTTCCCCGGCTGATATTTGTGGGCGCTTCCAGAAACACGGGCTCAAGACCCATCATGCCGCCAAATACGCAGCACCGTTCTCATTTAATGGAGTGACTACGTGCGTCACGAAGGACCAAGAAGCGGTACGAGCGCCTTCATGACCTATTCTATATTTTCGGTCTCGCTTACTCGGGTCCCTCTAGGCTTGTTATCGAAGCGATCACCTCGTCGTCGATGCAATGGAAGCCTATACGCACATGACGCAGGAGTTGCCCGTCCACGTTATCTTCGGGAGTGTTCACGATGTCGGGTATGCAGTCATCTTCCTGCTTACTTTCAAAGGCTGCCGACTCATACGGGTATGACAGGAACCCCGAACTTCAAGCCCTTCTCTCTGACAAGAAAGCTGGGCGACGGCCTGCATCAATCTCATACATCGAAGGCGCAGGGCATCTGGTAAAATCACAAGTCTTGTTCGGAAGGGGTATTCTAACTTGGTATGGCATAGGTCGTCCAACAACAACCAGAAGCTGTTGCAGAGGTGATAAATGGTCTCTTGCCGGCACCTCCGGTCCAAGCACGTCTTTAGATCACACTACGCACGCAAGTATTTGCTCTGTAATGCTCAATACATTGCAACAGCTATATGCCGCCGTACGCTTTGTTTCTATATACATAGCGATATGATTATTAAACTTTGTTCGTCGACCGTTCCCGAGCGAGCAAGAACCGTGTAACAGCAAGAATAAAGGCAGCTGCCACCATCAGCGTCTAAGCCCAAAGGCCTGTATCAGATTCAATATTCTAGAATTATCAGAAAGACAACTTACACCTGAGAACGCTATCGGCTTGTTCCACGTAAAGTTCTGCGTCAGCAGTTGTCCTTGAACAGGGGCAGATCCTAGCGATCCGAAGCTGCTCAGAGCCAGTGCTAGTCCTGTTCGTGCCCTACTCGGATCGTCTAATATCAGCAGAAGGGTTGAGGACAATAGGGAAACCGATGTCGTACCCAGTTTCACTCGGGTGTCGGGCGAGAGAACCCAATGAAGCCATAGCCAGCGAGAGCCCTTATCATAAGTTACCAATCTGGACAAGCTTTCCGGAGGCTACATGATAGAAACTCACAAGCGCCGGAGAACAGACCGTACAAGATGCTGACCACAACCAAGCTTCCGGTGCCATTCCTATAATTTCCTTTCGTCAGCTATCTGTCCTTTTTATCCGCCAATCAAGACACTGGAACGTCGGCTTACACTCCAAACACCGCGAAGATCGTACCGCCCGTAATGAGTGTGCATGGAACGAGGATGTTAAACGGGCCATAAATGTCTGCAAGGTGGTTGCCGGCTACTCGACCGATGGCACTGGAGGCATTCAAAATGGCGAGCTGGACAGCGGAAGACTCAGTCGAATGGAGGTTGCCGGAAGCATAATTCAGAACGTACCGAGTAGAAAGCCAAGGTTTGGTTGATGCCGTGTTGGACGGCGTACAGTTGGAGATAAATGACTAGATCACGCTTAAAGATTAGCACCAAAGAATTCGTTTTCGAAGGAGGTAAGCTTACGGGGGAAGTAAAAACCAAAGCTCGAGACGAGTGCCCTACATACCCGGATTTATGAGCTTCTCGTTCATCAACTGGCTAATTATAAACATACCCGAACACAGCCCACATATATGGCGGGTCCGTGAAGAAACTCTTGATGTCTAGTTTGGGTTTATTGGCTTGGGTTTTGTTATACGCTGTCCTCATAAGCAGGTTCCCGATGAGTAGGAACGGGAGAACGATGTAACCGGTCGCCCGAACGGTCTGCGCAAAGCTGATGTCTTCCACCAGGTTACTATCAAGGTCAAACCATGATCAGGATCGCACTTTGAACACCCGTTTCATGAGCTTACTTGATCACTGAAAGATAGAGTATATTTTAGGATCAAGTGAGTAGGAAACGGGAGCATGCTCACTGATTGGAAAGATGATAGCACCTATCGAGCTACCACTCAGTGCAACGCCTGTTGCAAGGGCCTTTCGCCGGCGGAAGTGATGCACGACGATACTGACAGTTGGGACGAAGGTGAAACCAAGACCGAGACCCATCCCGACACCTTGACTGAGGAAGACCTGGTAATACTCCTGGGGCTTCGCTAACGAAAGCATAAATAATCTGTATTGGTGAACACTTCAGCCACAACTGCATCCCTCAGGAGAAGAGAGCGCACATACGAGAAGGTGAAGATGCTTGCGCCAAAAATCTCAATTGCATGGAAATACCCTGCGTCAAACAATTTGCCTGAAACAATGCCGAGGGCGAAGGGCATCATAAGCTGGAAGCTCCCGATCCATCTGCAAGATCAAATGTTCAGGCTCGTCAATATCTTGGGATAGCTGGATGAGATGGAGCCTCACGCTATTTTACTGGGACTGTGGTTGGACAAGAAATGTCGGGTATAGAAGTCTGGGCAAGTCTTGTTAGAGGCAAGACTTGCCAAAATAGCTGGAGATTACCTTGGTATACCCCAAAAGAGTAGAGGTACCTAGCCCACGAAGAAACGTTACGAGCGAACAAAACGACGTCAGAACTTCACATACCCAAACGTCCCAAAGAGAACCAGCCAGCTACCGGACAAGATTTCAAGTCAGCACAGTTCTTCTTTCGCATCAAAAACAATAAACGTACGCGCCAAGAATCGTAACCCAGGCCTTCACTCCTCCATCCGCTGCAGCTTGCTTTTGACTCTGCTCCTCCTCTTCACCAGTCCTCTCTTGCACCATGACATCGGGCACCTTGACGTCTACATTCTCTGTCTTCTTTTCCGACATAGTTGAGCTGGCGTCCGGGTCAGGAGAAAGGGTACCTGCGTGGCTGTTGGAATTCCGGGGTGTAGACATTCCAGGGTAGCGGATACGTCGTTGGTACTGCCTCCCTCAGATCCGGCGAGGAGGATATGTTAGTGGAGGGAGGAAGGAGAAGACCAGGGGGCAGCGCGTGTACCGGGTTCTTCAATAAACCCATGGCCAGTGTGAAAATACGGCAGAAGGTCAAAAATAACTCGGAGAGAAGTGTGTGCGTGACGACGGGCCGAATGCACAAAGAAGCTAAGGCTCCATACTTCTAGATTCTAAGGTTCTATCAGGTTTCCTTGATGTAGATAGATATGTCACTGGAACGGATTAGGATTACATAAGTATCTACACCAGATAACTGATAAGATAACCAATACAGTATATAAGGACGTAGGTAGATCGTAGAGTAGTCAGTCTTGAATACATCGTCTTACCCTGTCTTTGAGGCTCTCGTGTGCCGGGACTCGCTTATCTCAGCGCCCCGTCACATATTTTTGACATCGACGCTCGACACTACTCTACTCGACTACAACCACTCTAACCCGCTCTTCGTCGTCGACACCATCGTCGGATACCCCTTGGCTTGATCACCCAAGGATTCCCAGGTGCGTCGTCGACTCTATATTTGCGAACTCACTACTCTATATTAGGATGGCAACGAGGATTACTCGTGCGAAGGCGAAGGGTACGAGCAGCACGACTGAAAACCCTTCGTCGACCCGGGAGCCAGTGCGCTCATCAGCCCCGCAAGGGCTTGCTCGATTAGAGCAGGACTCCGTCGCCATTGGCGATGAGGAGCGACTCGGGAATCGGGTCCCCGAGGAACGTCCACGCGGTCAAGCTGACCAACGAGAGGACAATGACGAAAGCCGAGGTCGAAACGACCGAAGGCATGTGAGTCCGAACAGAGCTGCTGCAGCAAGGCCTGTTCGTCGAAGTTATAGCTCAGATGCAGGTACCAAAATAATGAAAATGTGTCAGACGAACTGCGTATGGCCATAGAAGCCGTCGTCGAGACGCGAGATGGCGTAGAAAGAATTCTGCGAGCAGTCCGTAGCGAAAAGGATCGCAGAAGGGCTATTGATAGCAACACCGAGGAAATACCGAGACATGGGCCTTCGACCGCGTCGAAGGGGAAAGGAATCGACCCAACGAACTGGGGAAACGTTGATATCCCCGAAGATGAGCTAGACATTCACACACAGCAAGTCATGCTGGAAGATGTCCTCGAGAATGGGCAAGAAGTCACACATCAGATAAGTGAAGAAACTCATGAGGAACCAGCTGAACATCAGTATGTAGATTTACGTGCTGAGTATCAGAAGGCCAAGGAGCACACAAAAGCGTTACGTGAGAAAATAAAGGCTAGCTTCCAAACCGCATCCGCGCAGAACAATAGAGAAACCCCAGAACAGCCAGTACAAGCCAATGAGACGACTCCTGCTCCAACACGCGGGATATCAACCACTCCCATGTCAAGAGGACTCGAACGCGCCATCACTAAGGTCGGCCAACAAGCGCGCACCCACGCGGCTAGAGCCGAAGCGCTAAAACCAGCTAATCAACTCCCACAAGATAGCGTACTCGGGCAGTTCTTTGCTCGACAGGGAGGTGGAGGTGGGGGGAATGACCCATTTGATAGTGATTCCTCGGATGATGAGGATTTACCAAGAGGACCTCATTTCCCGCCTACCAACCGCCAGCCGCCAAAGATTTCGGGGCCTGTTGTTCCCGATATCGCGGGAAAGGCTGTATCGACACGTACCGTTTATCGTCAGCCTAACCCAACTGAACCGAGCAAGTACTATGGTGATGAGAATATTGATAAATACATGCAGTTTGTACAGGACTTCGAACAGTATTGTAAGGAAGCAGGTATCCCGGAAGAAGACCAAGTCATCAAATGTGGCCACTTTTTGGGCGGAAAGGCTAGAAGCTTCTATAGTACAATGGTAGCTCTAAATGTTCATGAATGGGATCTTCCCAACTTCCTTCGTGAATTATTCAACTGGTGCTTTCCACCGGATTTCCGTCTCAAACAGAGAAAGAAGCTTGAGAACTTCAGGCAAGGTGGCATGCTTGTCTCGGAGTATGCCCATAAATTGGATATGTTGTTCAGGATCGTCGGCGCTTCGAGTAAGCGCCAACGGATTGATAAGCTGTGGAATGGATTGCGTGACGAGTTGCAGTCTGCACTGTGGCGCGAGGGACTTGATTTCGAGAAGAGCAGCTGGAATGAAATAATTAGTGTTGCTATGCGGCACGAATTGGCAAATAAAATTGAGACAAATCAACGTCGTGAACGGACCGGACAGGACAACTCGGATCGTCGCAATAATCAGGCATATAATCGGCGACGAAGTCGCTCTCGAGAGGATAAGCGCCCAAGAAATGATAACCGAAGGGCTGGCAATAACAGTGTACGTCGGGAAGACCACCGAGACCGAGGCGAGAGTTCACGCTCGGATAAGAATAAAGATTCTAATAATAGCTACTACAAGCGTCAGCGTGATAACCAGAGCAATAGAAATGATTCCCACCGTGGACATGGAAGTCAGATGCGTTGCTACAACTGCGGCGAAGCCGGACACTTGAAGAGGCAGTGCCGGAAGGCTCAAGTAGTCAGATCTTCGAATGGGAAGTCAAGCTCGAATGATACGAACCCACCTGGGGTAAAGAGCTTCAATGTTGAGGTTGCTGTAGCAAATGAAAATAAGTATAGTGCCCTTGAGAGCACCACGGAAGGCTCGAGTGACGTGGGCGCTTATTTCATGGAGCTCCAAAGTGCTATGTGCGGCGTGATTCCAGACGAAGAAGTTGTCCCTGAGGATGGGATCGAGCCAGACCTTCGTTCTGAGACTGAGGGATCGAGTTGCATTGACTCGGGCGAAGCTATTTCGTTTGAAGAAGCCACGAGCTCCCTGTATGAGCCATTTGGTAATAACCACTCGGAGAGACTTCTGGGTGATCCCCTGTGCGAACTCGTGGAGCACCAGCTTGAGAAAATGAGGCCATATCCCGGAGATCCATCCTGGGAAGGTCAAATCTTGAATCGGTTTGCAGTTTATGCGACCAATGAAGGTAAAAGTATTGTCATCATGGATGAGGTAACATGTGAGGACGAAGTCCTCGACATCGGGAACCTTTTTCGCCCAGATTTTTTGCTCGGGAGGTGGTATGCGATCAAGAGGACGCAGGCTACATGCGTACGCGTCAAACCTCTCAGAAGATGGCATAAGAAAACGAGATTTTCGCACCTATGGGCCAAGAATGCGGCCTGGAAGCTCAATACAGGTCGTTCCTTCAGAAAATACC